CCAAAATATGTTCAAGATTGTCAGTTTTTGAAACACGAAGATGTGTCCCTGTAACTTGGCACATGAAAGGCTGAGCATGTGCTCCAACACTATCAAATATTTGCTTCCTCTTCTTCTTTTGCTTCTTCCTCTTCCTCTTCTTTTTCTTTTTTTTCTTCTTCTTCTGCTTCTTCTTCTTCTGCTTCTTCTTCCTCTTCTTCTTCTGCTTCTTCTTCCTCTTCTTTTTCTTCTTCTTCTTTTTCTTTGTCTTCTTCTTATTATTATTATTCTTCTTCTTCTATTTCCTCTTCTTCTTCTTCTTCTTCTTCTTCTTCTTCTTCTTCTTCTTCTTCTTCTTCTTCTTCTTCTTCTTCTTCTTCCTCTTCCGTATTTTGTCTCTAGTATGAGCGACCTTCTTTGAGCGACCCGTAAGGTTTGGTATGTACCAGTTTTTCTCTCGGCCAAAAGTTTTGCCTTTACATCTTGTATCTGGGACAGTCTTTGAGGGCGTGATCTGTTGTCTCATGTATCAGTTAACATGTATAATTCACCGATTTTAAATTCTATGTACACGTGGCTGCAATTGTGTCCTGCTCTAAGGCGTGGAATAATGACCTGCTCTGGTCTGTGCACAATAAGCAAAAGTCTAGTGCTGCTAACAGAAAAGCCTATTTAGTCAGACCTCAATGAGGGCAGAGCTGTATTGTAGTTTCAGCCACACTGACAAACAATCAATAGAAGAAAACAGTTGATGTTATAAATATATGGGGATTAAATACGTGTTACATATCTCTTACTCTCCGTGTGGGTTCCGGGGTCCCATTATGATACAGAACAAGAATAGACCCACTGCGTCCCCAACAAGCATGTTGTAAGAGTCGATTAATCTGCATATAATAAAGTCATATCTGTGAAATGGATGTGCACGCAAAACTTCGGTTCTAGAACAGAACTAAAGTCAAGAGAACTTTCTGCCAGAGTTTACAGCTAGTGAATGCAAAAAAGATATCTTTTACATCAAACCACAAAATTTGTCTGCTGTTTGTGGACAATCTTATGTGGCAAGAGTATGGTTTGTGCAGTTATGGGACGGTGTAGAATAGAGACAGTCCATTATTTGTACGTGCATGACAGAAAGGTGACGGATGGTGACGGTCCGTGTGCACTCGGATGACTGATAGGTGAACCACAGTTCAGCTCCATAAATTGAAGACAGCGATAAGGCGTGACTGACTAGAGCGCTTCGCCTGTGTGTCCACGGGTCCCGCATGGACTTGGGCTGAGCTGTCTACCTGTGACAAAAGTCACCGGGTCGACTTGACAAAGGGGAGTCAAACATGGGTCTTTGGACAGGAGACATCTAATAGAGTGACTGTTTACAATCTTAGTACGCTGTAGTGATAGTCTATTGACTGATAACTTGTGATGTGTTTCGTTAGGGTATCACAGTCCCCCTGTGTTTTGTTGCGTTTGACGGAGATAGTGTTTTGTATAATGCGTCACATTAGTTGAGGTATTCTGATAGCCATGGTTGGTTTTGGACTGGCTGTTGCGGTATTGTCTATCCCTGCACACTGTCCCCCACACATTGCAGTCACTGTGCGATCCTGGTGGAATCCAGTGGCAAAGGAAAAGAGCTTATCAGGAGCAGTTTGGGTTTGGACCTGAGTATTATCCATGGGGACGGGAAGGCGTGCTCGTTGATTTGTAAGGACATCAGAGCCTGTATTTCGGGTAAGGGTATCCACATCTCCTGACGTCAACTGTCTCACGTTAGTGTGTGCTATACATTAAAGATTGTTGTGTGTGCTCTGTGGGTGTTCGGTTTTGTGTGTTCTTGAATAAATTGTCTGTCACGAGCCTGTACAGTGAGTCATGTACCATCATTGTAGATCAGAGGTCTTTATCATTATTTTTAGTAGTTTGCTATTCTTTTTTTTTTTAAAATCCCAAGTGAATCAAGAGTTGAAAAGATGCTGACGTGGACAGGACACACACTGAGGAAACCTGAGAACACTATAACCAGATGGGCTTTAAACTGGAACCCACACAGCTATAGAAATAAATGTAGATTAAAAAAACACACACATAGAGAAGGGAGTTAGAAAGTGAAGTTGAAAGGACAGACCAGAAAAGAGGTGAACTGCATGCAACAGCAAGAGATAGGACAACTTGGAGTAAGTTTGTTGAGGGCCTATGCTCCAATGGGGGCTAAAGGGCAGAAATAAAAGTCTGCTATTCCCAGACTGACCCAGCTAAAAATGGGAACTATGTAAAGACATGGGAAGTAAAGGCAGCCGTCATGATGGTGACCCTTTACCTGACTTATAGTTCGCCAGTAATAAATGGTCAATGCACACACCATTGAAAAAAACCAATGCAAAGCGATCTGCTGCTGAATCAAAGAAAGTATACCAGAATTAAAACTGTGATGCTCAACTATATGGACATAAAATAACAAAATGATGTGTTCACAAACTCTGATTTATTTATGATCCTTTAGTTTTAATAAGAGGACAGCATAAATCAAATTTTAACAGATTTCATATTTTTTTAAAACAGCAACATTTTTCTTTTTCTGCAGCCACCTCATTGATGTATTCAGAAAAATATGTGGAAATGGTGGAGGCTGAAAAGGGGGGGGGGGGGGGGGGGGTGTGGGAAGTGTGTATATGTAAGCTTCTGTATGCTATTTTTTGATGCATAGTACTTTTTCTTTGTTTACCAGCTGTAAGCTCCTGCAGAAAGTCCTAGTTTTTTATCAATTTGGACTTTGGCTTAGTGATAGGGCCTGAGTTTTGCTTGTGCATCCGCTTCACTGGCTTATTTGTGCGTAGCTGGTTGTTTCTTACTGCTCGGGCAGTTGCACTCCAACTTCAAAGGAAATCCCCAATTAGTTGACTCCTACAACATGTTTGTTGGGGAGGAAGTGGGTCTATTGTTTTCCCCACAGTGAAGCTCCAGAAGCCATAGATGATGCATAGTAGAGGGTTTTTCAAAATGATGGATACACTCTCATTCATGTATATTTCCTTGAACATATTTCTTGAATATCAAAAATATAAATACAAGAGAGGGGAAACTCAAACATTTTAAATACCACCCCTACCAAAAAACTCTGGCCCACCTACAGAACCCTTTCACAGCCGCAGTGAACTCAGTTACGCTAGAGATGCTTCTTCCTGTGTGGGATAAGCTCAGCTAAAGCTTAGATGGTGCAGCAGATGGCGGTTATATTGAACATCTATAATCTCTGTTGTAAGTTTGTAAACTGTAGAGCTTCCAACCAATACTGTATGTAGACTATTTAATTAAATGTATATTCAAGGAAATGAATCAAAGTGTATCCAGCATTTTGAATAACCCTGTATAAGCTGATCATGATTTCTTTAACTCTTTGAGTCCCAAGAAAAACGCATCAAACATTCATAGGTTACTGCCTAGGAGCCCAATGAACGCAAGATGCACCGATTTTACGTCTCTCTTGACTACCCCTTGGGCCTGTGATGCTAAAACCTCTGGGACTCAAAGAGTTAAGGCTGTTCTTAAAACTATCGCTACATGTTTTATGTTGTCTTCTCCTTGCTCACTATCATTATACGTCTATGACAATTAGCACCAGGTCATTCTGACCTGATTCCCAAACCATCTCATCTATTATTGTTTAATGACTTGAATGAGTCGTTTTTACATCAAAATTATAACAAAACAAGATTTTCACTCACTTTATGATTTATATGTAAAACATAAAAAAAAAGAAACAAATAAATTTGAAAAAAAAAATTAACAAAAAAATTAAATCAATCAATAGTTGTCGGGTTTCTGACTAAGGGAATAAAATATTTCACATTCAAAATGCAAACAAGTCAACTTCACAATGTAATCCTAAAAAAACTGACATGCACATCAATAATATAAACAGAACAAATATAAAGCTACATCTAGTTATAAACTGCTTTACATCAAGAGTATAAACAGTACAAGATATAAATCTACCTCAAGGTGTGAAGTGAGCTGTGCATCAAAAATAAAAACAGAACAAGATATAAATGCAGGTACAAGAATCTTGATACTGTACATCAAGAATATAAAAAAGAACCATAATCACACACTGTCTCTGACATATGTATCTGCTTTGTGCTTGTTGACACGATCAGGATTAGCTTTGAAAACATATTCGTAAGGATAAGGGACATGAGGTGCCGACAGTTCATCGAGCTGTTGCATCTGGAAATAGAGAAACAACAATCAAGTGGCAAACAGGTCGAAAGACTCTGTCATGAACACAGACTATGTATTGGTGATACTATAATTATTATAGTATGGAAACTTTCTGCTAGATGTTGATGCCTATTTACGAGGGACATAGAGCTAATAAGGGCTTGTCATGAATGCTGTGATTTCAAATCTTTTCCCAGGGGAACACAGATCAATTATTACAGCTTCCGCTGTTAGTGTTTGTAAATGAGGCAGCAACATCCAAGAAGACTGGACATAGAAGAGCATGTCTCCTCAGATAGAATCAGGCCCACTAGTTCACAGTCAGAAGTTCTTTCTTATGTACGGTATGATTTTCAAGTACTTTATAAGAGTACATTCATTACTAAATACATCAATAAATTGGTCGTGTGTTTCATGGATGACAGAAATGCCTCCATCCAACTGACAAGCATAACTCGGGTTTATAAGCATTCAGAAAATTCTAAGCTATAGCCTATTTTTCAGGTCAGGTTTTATTTTTGGGAAAACATTGTAGTCCTCCTATCAAACACTGTCGTCATCCTATCCTTTGCTACTGTGCACCGTTCATCCCATGTCCTCTCCATCTTTTTCATCTGCTCTAATTCTTTTCTATATGCATTTTGTTGTCAGCCATTATTCCTTTGAGCCCATGAGTTCGAGTGCAAGAGTATTCTAGTAAAAATATGAATACTGTAATGCTATCAAATAATAATAATAATAATAACAACAACAACAACATTCTAGAGCTGTTGGCAGGCGGAGACATCCTAATCTGCCTTTCAGTTGCTGATTGATTTGACATAGTAATTATTGGCCGCTGGGTTCACGCGATCTGCATTCGCAAAGAACACTAAGCTGTAGGGGTAGGGTCTCGGAGGAGCAGAAATGTCATCCAGGAGTCTCATCTGCAATTATCATCATCACTACGTCAATACCATTGTAACATTCTACCAGTAGACATGCACTGCCTTTGCTCATTATAGCTTACTGGACGATTCACCAGTCAGCTGATCAAATCACTACCTGATCAACTTTAAGTGATATTATAACAGAGTAATCTTTCTCTGTCAACCGAGGTGAGAAAGAGAGTTCTCAAGAGCTATAGAAATCCTATCCTTATGTATGGAAACAAGCCATAGACAGTTGACTGATTAGTTAAAGATTATGTGGATGCGGAGAAGATGTGGTTTTGTAGATGAATGATCAGAACACCCTGTACAGATAAAAAGAGAAATGAAGATGTCTTGACTCATGAAGAAAACAGGATTGCCCACATCAGAAGGAGAAAATCTACATTCTTTGGCTATGTCATGATAAGGAGAAAACTGGAATACATCGTGATGGTGGGAAAGTTGGAAGGGAAGAGAGGCAGAGGTGGACCATGAGAAAAGATGCTGGACAGTCTGACTTCATGGCATGAAAGATCATCTGTGTTAAAAGTAACAGAAGGTACAGGAGACAGATGATTTTGGATAGATATGACTATCAACATTACAGCACATCCCTAATTGGTTTCACATTCAACTGCTGAGTGGGGATTCTTAAGTGTGTCAAGAATGGCCAAGAAGAAAGAACCTAAATTCTTCTCTAGGAATGTTATTTACTTGGCAACAGGCAGGTATGTGCTGGAAATTGGGTTTTCCAAGTTAGATACCACACACTGAATAGGCATTTACAAAAACTGGTTGAAGCAAGTGGAAACTAAAAGGAACAATCTTGAGTTATGCAAACAAAAAGAACATGTGATGAGTTGGATATATTAGAGGTAATTATGTGGCTAATCTTTAATTTTCAGTGGTGAGATGTACAGTATAACTAGAGACATTATGATTTGTGTAGATCAGCAGAATAGGATCTGTTTTGTGCTTCAGTACATATCTATATAATTCAGCAGAAATGCACCTAATTATATGCAGTAAAATATACTAGGCAATACATTTTGTGTCCTAACTATTTAAATTTACAATGGAAAAACAGTGTTTTGAATTTAATTATTTTTTGATGGAGTGAACAAGACATACTAAAGAAAACCAGGAACTGCGACAACTAACGCCACTTTTTACACTTTTCCTGGGAAAATGTGTGACACTTGCTTTTTGTTTTGTTTTTAGCGGCAGCGTAAAACAGTCTTACTTCCGACCGTGATGCTTCAGTCCATTATCATCAAGGGCCTTCTTGACTGGCTCAAGCCTTTCTGTGCTAACGTGATCCAATCCATTGAAAAGTTATCGAGATGCTGTTCGGTAAAGCTTAGAGTTTTCATCTCTCCAGCTCACATCCTGGATTTCACCTCATATTCTCATCATGATCAAGTGCCTTGCCAGCTGGCGTAGGTGTTTATGACTCTCCACAGATCTCGGTCTTTAGTGTTCTGAATCAATTCCACTCATGATATTCCTCTATGCCACTGTCTTAAGCCATCCACTATAATTTCTCTTGGTCTGCCTCTGCCTCTTCTACCAGTGCCCTTTCCAGTCATCACGATATTTTCCAGTGCTCCTTTTCTCATCACATGACCAAAGAACTTTGTTTGTCTCCTTCTCATTGTTAAATATAATGTTCTACTTTATGTTGTCTTATTATAGGGCAACAAAATTGGTGAGCCTGACCTCTTATACTGAAAACTCTTATTCTGGTACTCTTATCCTAAGGTTCAACATACTGTACTTTGTGACCTCTCCTTTCAGTGTTAAAGACCCTTTGCCATCTGCATAACTGAAATAAATTAGTAACAGAATTAAGAAACTGATGGTATCAAACCTCCTCTTGGGTCAAGCTCCATCCGTTAACTCCCATGTTGTCATCCAGTTGGGCAAGATTTCTGGCCCCTATGATAACTGACGAGACAACGTCCTTCTGTAGAAGCCAACGAATGGCTACCTGAGGGACAGTCTTGGCTGTGTTTAGGGAGGAGGGAAGTCAAAGAATTATAGGCACTGGTAGTACAATTAGGCAAGTGCCAACAGGCAAATAAATATGACAATATTAGAAGTTAAACATTTAAATGTGATCCCAATACAGATGATTGATCAGCTTAATTCTCCCGAATTATGAGCTTCATCTCTCAAGTCAAGTGTCTTGGCATTTTGGTCTATTGAGCTCTGAGAAAGATCTGTATTAATGACAGTATACACTTTTACCACAATACAATTTATTGTTTTTAACAGGAAGATAAAAAGTATGTAGAATGTTGAACTTAGAATCAACATCATAGCACTTGCGACACTTTCATAAGCGCTCCGTCCCCATCTTCAGCAGCAAACAAAGAGTTCCAATGCTGAGCATCGGCCAGATCCCCTGTTAACTTCCTGCAGCGCCATTCTCCTCAGACCGTAATGATCTTTTTTGCGCTTCCACACTGTTCACTCGCTCCTAGAGGGCCCTTACAACATCTGGCTTGTCATACATCAGTTCATTACCAAGATGAAAAGTAAGAGTGAAATAACAAACATACTTTTTTTTTTAAAGAAGAAGAAAAAGTAGAAGGGTGAGAAAAAGGAGGGGGAAGAAAATAAATAGAAAATGAAAAAAATACACTATCAATAACAAAGGGACACTACTCACAGTGTTTCTGAGCAATAGCTTCAACTGCTTCAAGCACATCAAAAGATTTCTCGTCAAACCATTTCCACGAAGGAGCTGACTGCATGGCCTTGGTCTCGTTTTCTGCCACCCAACCAAGCCTCCCTTCTGTGGGTTTCTGTCCTCGTTTGACTTTCCCTGTCAGGAAGCCTCTGGGGAGGACAGAGGAATGCATATAAATTGTTCTTCTCTTCTTCTTTTCCCCACTGCTTGCTTTGTAGTGTTGGCATCACAGTTTAACAAACAATCAGTAGCTAAACTGCTTGATACTCTGTATGTATGTATGTATGTATGTATGTATGTATGTATGTATGTATGTATGTATGTATGTATGTATGTATGTATGTATGTATGTATGTATGTATGTATGTATGTATGTATGTATGTGGGTGAGTATGCATGTGTGTTTAAGTGAGTGAGTGAGTGGTTGGGCATATTTAGGTGCGTACTTGAGTGTGTGCACGCATTTTATTCAAAATATGCATATTATTATACAAACATAACATGCTTTACTCATAAACTACATCTGCTGTGTGAAAGATTGGTGCTTGGAAGAACGGAACATAAGACGGGCCTGTGTGCCCAATTTTAACGCTTTAAAAATAAAATTTGTTTGTTTGTTTGTTTATTTGTTCTGTTGTGAAAACCCAGGATGTCATGTACTTCTTTTGTACATCTTCCTCTACGTCTCACCCTGCCTCTTCAATTTTCAATTTTCGTAGTGTATGCTCGCCCTGCTACCATCATTGTGGTCATTCCTCAGCTAAATCCACAAGTATGCATCCACACTCGAATCATCACACCAAAATTACTGTGCTAGGTCCAGGGCCCATTCTAGGCACACATACACAAAAAGAATAGAACCACTGCCCCCTTACAGACATGTAATAAAACTTTACTAATTAGGGGCTTTTCTTTCAAAGTCAGAGTACATGTCTGACAGGCAAGGAACCAACAGTCTGCATACAACTAAGACAGATGTGTAAAATGGATGTGCACTCAAAACTCAAGTTCTGCAGCAAGTCCAGAATTGGGTAAATATTCAGGACTTTCCATCAGAGTTTACAGTCGAGAAAAAAATAACATGTCTGCAAACTGAGTGTCTCGAACTGGGGTCTGTAAGATGCTTCTTGTGAAATTAAATCTCTAGTGTTTCATTACTGTACCAATTTTTGCAATAAAATTCGCAAGCAGAAGGTTGAATGTTGAATTAAAAGTCGACATCACAACACTCAGGACACTCTCATTAGCGCTCCGTCTTCATCTTCAGCAGCAAGCGAAGAGTTCAAATTCTGATGGCACCTGTAACTGTATGACTGTATATCCGCCTTGCCTTTTCCTTGAGTGCTGAGCGTCGGCCAGATCTCCTGGTAACTGCTCGCAGCGCCATTCTCCCCAGACCATAATGATCTATTTGTGCCTCTGCAATGTTCACTTGCTCCCAAAGGGCTCTCACAACATGTAGCTTGTCATACATGAGTTCACCACCAGGTGTTTCAGAACCAGCCAGTCTATCTGCCTGCTGATTTCCTAACACACCGGAATGACCTGCAGAAAATATCCAAAGGACGCTAACTATCCAGGACAGCTGAAGCAATGCTTGCCACTCTTCACAGAGCATGCCTGTCTCCACCTTTCTCAACATGCTCTGTCTGTGAGTCAGTTACAATTACCACATGTGTGTTCAGCTGATTCTCAAACCAGTGGAAGGTAGCATTGATTGCCTCTACCCCCATTCTCAAACTAGACATGATATATGCCAGGTTTTGCTGCACTAAGTGACGTCCATTAGATATTGCTATGAACCTCATTCACTTTACCTGCCTCTCAACACAGAGCTGTGGTGAACTGATACATGACAAGGCAGATGTGGTCAAGGCCCTTTGGGAACAAGCAACATAATCAGTAGATAGAAGATTATTTTGGCCTGGAGAGAATGAGGCATCTGGGTGTAGCCAGAGGGTATGGCCGGCTCACTACACTCAGAGGAAAGGCAAGACGGACATATAAGCAGATTGTGACCAGTACTCTCAATACTGGAACTCTGCACTGGCTGCTGAAGATAAGGATGAAGCATGCAGGGGAATGCCCCGAGTACTGTGGTGTCAATTCTTGACTCAACACAGAGCCATCGGGGCGGGAACTGTCATGAATTATCTGTTGAACATCTGATTCTGCAGCACAAGCTGGCCAGTCTGCACTCATGACCTAAAGTGATTAGACTCCTACACAAATCTGATTCTTGCTCTGACACTTTGACCCACTCCTCTTCTGCAAATCTGATTCTTGCTTGGACACGTTGACCCACTCCTCTTCTGCAAATCTGATTCTTGCTTGGACACTTTGACCCACTCGTCTCCTTGCCCACATGTATCAAACCTCACAATTCACAAGTCTGAAACACATAATGAAAATAACCAGACCCACCCTTTGAGTGGACTCCAGGGAAGGACTCCGAGCCCCTCAGCCTTGCACACCTGGAAGGGTTCCAGTTCCGAGTCCCGACTGACCAGGTTGTATTGTTGCTAGCAGGACAAACAATGAAATCAATGGAGGGAATTATAGTTAGTTAAACATGGCAAAACTTCTGTGTCGTAAACCACAATGAACTTTTTCAGTACCAAGACAAAAGTACTTGCTGAGTTGATTTATAACTAAATTAACTGTCCTCTGGTACTTGAAAAAAGTTAACAGACGTTTAAGTTTTATGTATAGTGTTAAACAGATGCTATCCCCATATGGGTTCTGAGGCCACATGGGGGAGGGGGGATAGACAGAGTGGCTATCTTCTGTATACATGGTACTGACCAAATGGATGGACTGGCTATCTTATGTAAACATGCTAGTGACCAAAGCAAAAACATGGCTGGAGACACAGACCTTCACCTGAACATGCTTTCTCAATGACTCATTAAGTATGTTTTGGAAAACAGGGATAAGCTGGTCCAAATACAGTGGGTGGTGTCTCTGAGGTGCTCATTTTTATGACAGGGAACACAGGTGTGCAAGGTAATGAGCAAGCTGATAGGTTTGCAGGTAAGGCTACTGTGAAAGATGAAAGAGCCATTGACCAGGCTGATATACTGAATACTTTACTAGAAGTAAGACAAGAAGGGATTGTGAATCTGCAACCATGACTAGACTGGTAAGAACAACAAATCAAAGGGTGTGTGGCCAGACAAGAGCAATATGCAGGAAGCCACCAACACAATACTATTGTCATCAGACGCTACACACTGTGGGATTTACTGAGAAGGGGATTTGAGCAATTATAAACTGAATGGTTCAAAGTGTAATGAGGATAATCTGTTGGCTAACTAACTAACAACTAATACTGTGAAGGAATAAATTATAGATATTGGAGTTTCTATGGAATTTCCACTGCTCAAAAACAACAATTTATCAGAATAGATGGAGTGCCTACCTACCTGTAGACTGATAATTGAGTTGAGTCCCAGGTGTTTGGTTGTCTCTACAAGTTTACACAGCTGCCAACCAGTGACATTGCTGACCCCGATGTAGCGAATTTTACCAGCACGGACTAGGTCATCCAGTGTTCTCAGGGTTTCCTCAATAGGGGTTCCATCATCAAATACGTGGGTCTGTGCATCAATAAGACAAAGATAGAATACAAGTATGTTGAATTTATCCATAATTTAAATGTTGTTATCATAATGACAAATATTGCAGCAGAAATACTAAACATAAAACAAATCACTGTAATTATACAATACATGAAATATCACATCTATGTTCTTTAACTCTTTCAGTCTCAAACAATATGTGGTTAGCAATGTTCTGAATCCCACCCAACATTCAATATGTTATAGTCCTTTTCAAGTTAGTCACAGCATACTAAGAAATCTGACTTCCTCAGTATTTAGCATCTTTGAAAGCAACATACTTGTGCTTTTTCCTTATGTTTTTTAAAAATACATATGGGTATCTCTAATAAGACCTTTTGGTACTCAAGATCTCCCCTAAAGATTGCAGCCTGAAGGATAGACACCCTATGAAATAAAGAGTCAAAATTCAGAACAAATGCCAGGAATCCCATTCATGGATTAACTAAGCTGTCAGTGACAATTTACAAGTTTAAATAACTGTTATAAAACTAAGAATACTTTCATTCCTAGGTATTAGTTACCCCAGACTGACTGAAGGATGCAAAACAGGAAATGTTTACTATTCTGTACTACATTTTGTGAAGTAAAATTTCAGCGTACATTTGACATTATAGATTTTTTTTTTTTAGATCTATTTTATACACTATTCGAAAGTGTAAGAATGGGCCTCAGTTTGAATAGTGGGAAGACAGAAGTAATGGTGGTATCAAAGAAAATAATTATGCCTAAATGTGTAATAAAAGTAAATGGTTTTATTTTGGGACAAGTACAGAAATGTAAGTATCTAGGTACATGGATAACATCAGATTGAAGATGCATTACTGGAATAAGAAACAGAATAGGACAGGCAAAATCTGCATTTTATAAAATAAAGAACATCTTATGCAAAATAGCTTTGTCATTGAAGGTTAGAAAAAGAATTCTTGCTTGCTACATACATCCAGTTTTAACATATGGCTGTGAGTCCTGGACAATCAGTAGGCAGGCCAAACAATTTCTTGAGGCCTCAGAGATGTGGTTTTACAGAACAATGCTTAAAATACATTGGACAGCACATGATGATGAGTCACTATTCATATTCGGCCGAATAGTTGGTCCAGCAATTCGTATTCGGCCGAATAGTGAAAATCACTATTCGGTACAGCCCTAGTTATCAATAATGATGTATTAAAATGGCAGAGATTTCCAAACTTCTTTTTATATTATTACAACAATGATGCTCATAAACAGCATCCTGTCATGAAAGCTGAGGTATTCTGGCCATGTTAAACAACATGGTGGCCTGAAGAGAAAATGACTGAAAGTGAAGACACTGGAAAATGAGGCAGATGCAGACTTCAAGGAAAGTGGCTACAGGACACTGAAGATGCACTGGCTGTAAGTTTGAAGTTTCAACAACAGATCAACATCATGGCACACGGGTAGTGACCTATAAGTGCTCCGTTCTACTTCTAACTCAAGTTTGAGTCCAACGAAGCTCAGCACAGTGCACAGGCTCTGTAGCACTGGTTAGGATCCTGAAATACTTTGGGTACATTTTTAATTCAAAATTATGCCCGGGCAGCACCACTAGGCTACTCTTTTCGATTTCCAACGGCCAAGGGATTTTTTTAACGTGCGCAACAATGCTCACAGGCGTCTGATCTCACTACCCAGAGACCAGGTGAAATTATCAGTCCAAGTCAATGTGAAAAAATCCCAGCCTACCGGGGATTGAACACAGAACCTCCAGCACTCGAGGCAGCCTTCCTCTGGCTATAAAAAACCCTAACAGAAGGCTGGATAATTGGCCAGAGAGAGAGATGGACTTTTAAGGATGCTGTGACGAAAGTTACATTCTGTAAAAGACGTGATAATTGATGTTGAATGCCATACATAATAAAACATTAATGCAACAACACAATCTTAATCTTATTATTATCCTACTCAATGAAAGAGATGATCCTGCACACCTGGTAGAGATCCACAAAGTCTGTGTGTAGTCTCTTGAGGCTTCTATCGATACTCTCTGTAATGTGACGTCGACTCAGCCCCACGTTGTTGATATTCTCTTCGGTGCCCATATTGACTCGACATTTGGTGGCAATCACATACTTGTCTCTAGGTTGCCTGTAAATTAACAAAGATTCACTGCAGCATCTAGTAAAATTACTAAAGTAGGGAATAAATTCCCTGAAGTAGACACTAAGATACTATGAAATAGGCACTAAGCTATACTGAAAAGGCACTTAAGATTACTTAAGTAATAAAAAATGTTCCTTAGAATATGAACTAGGATCGGAAGTAGGCACTAAGATTACTAAAGTAGGCACAATTACTCAAATATGCAGTAGCATTCACTGAAGTAGGCACTAAGATTTCTAAATTATATACTAATATTAACAAAGCCGGTACAAAGATTCTGTGAAACAATTACATCTATTAAAGTAAATACTAAGATACATTTCAGTAAACACCAAGATTACTAAAGAAGGCACAGAGATTCACTGTAGTAGGCGCACAAATTTCTTGAAGCAGACTCAAGGTTCGCTGAAGTAATAACAGTTACTGAAGCAGAGACTCACGTTTCCAGCCACTTGCCAATGATAGTTTCAGAGTTGCCACGTCCATAGACATCTGCCGTGTCCAGGAAGTTGCCTCCCCACTCCACGTAACGGTTGATGATCTGATGGGAGAGGTCTTCATCACTTTGTCCTGGTCGACCCATCTACATAAATGATAGCAATCTTAAAAAACAATATTAATCTCATGTAATTCTTGTAAGAAACTGGTAAACAACTAAAATCTTCCTTTCTTGGATTGGAAAATAGATTAAACGAATTGTGTTTATACT